TCTAATATTGAAATATTTAAGGAGTGGGTACATTTATTAGGACAAATCAAAAAGTTATGTTCATTTGTGGGGATTTCAACATAGACCTATTAAATCCAAACAAACATAGTATGACAGATGAGTTTATTAATATTAAAATTTTAAATTTTATTAAAATTTTTGCACATGTCGAGGAGCGTGTCAGGCTACATTTCACTGTGTGTTATACTTGTATAACTATGCATGTGACAAATAAAGAACCTTGAACCTTGAACCTAATACAATGTATAGCATGGGACTCTGTCCAGTGATCACTAAACCCAGCAGGATTACAGCACAACCTTAATAGACAATATATTTACTAATGAAATAGAAAACAAATCTATAAGTGGTCTCCTAATTAATGACATCAGTGATCATCTACCTGTTTTTGTAGTGTATAACAGCAATTGCAGGAAGGTCAAACAGGAAAATACAACAAACTACAAACGAGTGAGAACAGAGGAGTCCATAAATGCATTTAAAAGTGATTTACTTAAGCAAGAATGGGAGATGCTGTATAAGGAAAAAATATTGATAAAGCTTATGAGACTTTTTTAGGAAAATTTAAACTGTTGTATGATAGCCATTGCCCAGTAAAGAAATATAGTAAAAAACAAAAATATGCAGCGTGCCCATGGACTACAAAAGGATTACAAAATGCATGTAAAAAGAAAAATACCTTATATAGAGAATTTATAAAGAACAGAAGTACAGAAGCTGAAAATAATTATAAGAAATATAAAAATTAATTAACTAGTATTTTGAGGTCATGTAAAAAGGAATATTATGAGAAAGTCAGCAGCAGTCAGCCAAACTTTCTACACAGTGAAAAATATATTTCCTGTTTGTTTGGTTAATGGTTACCCGTCTCAAAGTGACTGGCTGTAAATGAACCTCATACGTTTTTCTTTTTCTAAAATCTTCTTTGCTTTCTGTTAAGTTTCAGTAAAGTTCTGTAAGATGTGATTAGCATTACTGACAGTGTAATAAACGCAAATCGTGATTTTGTTCTAAACATGCTCCAGTACTGCTGTTGCTAAAAGTAACACAGCTATGGAAAACTGAAAATAACATAAAGGAAAAATAAACTTTGTTACATAAAACGGTTTTATCTCTGATGTTGATTATTTGGCATGATTTCAGAGGATTTTGAGTCATCCTTCATTTCTTGATATTTTTCTTGGCAAATGGAAAAATTTGGAGTGATTTATTACAAACATGTGGAAAACATACATTAGCTACATACAAAAACAGCAAGCACAGGAAAGCAGTGAGTTTATTTACTGTGGACGTAGCTGTTTAACTAGTTACAAAAACTGTCTTCAGGTAGTGGGTCTGTTGGTGAATGCAAGTCTCTGGGGTTTAATCCACACAGACACAGAATCTCTCCACATCTCTGTCTCACACATAAACCCCACGGCAGGGAAGCATCCACACTTCTGCACAGAGGAGAACACAGATTAGCATTTTACTGAGATTCAACTGAAACCGGACTTACCAGACTTTTTTTTTTTTTTTTTTTTGCCTGTCCTGTTTGGTTCTTTAGCCATCACATTTGTTGCCTGAAGGCCAGCAAAGGTACCAATTTACTTTACCAAGTGAATCATCACGGCCTTGCCCTATTGGTAAATTTTATTGACCTTTGTTATTATTATTTAGTTTTTTATTTTCAGTTGTTACAGACGGGACAGAAAAGGAAGAAAGAAAAAAAAGGAAAGGGAGGAAAGAAAAACAGAGGGGAAGAGTGACGGTGAGAAAAGGCACTTAAATCTCCCGGATTACCTGTTGAGAGAAGAAAAAAAAAGAGAAAACAAGCAAAAAAGAGAACAAAATAACAAACACAACACAATTGCAATAATCTAGCTAACTGTAAATAACGGTAACTACTAAATATTGAATGTTGTTGTGCAGCACGCAGGACCGACAGCACACAATGTGCTTTGAGACACTAAAACAAGCGGTGCAACACTCAGGCAAAGAATGAAGGTTTGCTCCCAGTTTAAATATGCTGGCCGCAAATTGGCTGATGACAAACAGGTGAGCTTGATTATCCCAGGTGTGCCAGGAGGAGGAGAGATGTCCAGGAAGACCCTGCCCCTGAAAGGCAAACCATAGTTATTGCTAATTTGATGGGTTCCAGATGTTGCTGCTCACTAGATCAGTAGATCAAAGTAGTGTTTAGCAGTGCTTTTCTGTTTTCAAAATGTGAAAACATTTTGGAAATCTAATCATCATTCCTAATCTTCAATATTAGGCCTGAATGATGTTTTTTTTTTTTTTCAAATAGAAACCATTTATATGCAGCCCCAAGCTATGACAATCCTAACATATTTTACAGATGAAGACACTCACAATATACGATACAAATTGTTAACAATACATATTGATGACAATTTGAACCAAAAATTTACAATTTGGATTCACTCCATCTGACCTTTCCACTGATTTTCAGTCCAGTCCTTGTGTGATTTGGAATAGCCCAGCTGTCTATCCGTCTTTGCGTTCCTTAACAAAGGCTTCTTCACAGACATCCTCCCACTGAGACCATTTCTGTTGAGGGATCAGTGAACTGTAGATGGATCGCTGAAGAGCCAGATGCATTCCAGCATTATTAGACAAAACTCCTAAAAAGTAATTCAGTAATTCTGCTCAGTGCAAACATGGCAGATAATTTCTCAGACAGCTGAGTCGAACAAGTCTCCTGAACAAAAATGTAAATACTGGTAGCTCCATATTCATTACTATAACACATAAAAATGAATGATAGATAAAATTAACTTGTTAATCCAGTTTCAGCATTCTGAATGAGTTATGTTCTTTTGCGGACCTTTTATGCAGCACCCATCTTATATTTTATGGTATACTGAACAGAGTTTGGATGTCAGGGTTTAATGCAAAATAAATAAGACAGAGTGTCTTTTTATAGAAATACTCCCTAGAGCAGAAGTTGTGAATGAATCCACAACTGGAAATTTAAACAAATGCAAAAGTTAGATTTAGTCTAACTTTTTGAAATCATGTTTGTAACTTCATGAGCTTGTTACAACCCTATTCTTCCTGTTTCCACCACATTAAAACCCACAGACACAGCAGTAGTTGAAGTGGCGGCATGTAACGTGATTAATGACATACTTTTTTAAAGATTGCTATCTTCATTAGGAAAGTGTGGCCTCTGACATGCCAACCAGAGATAGGACTGAAAGCCTAAAAATTACACCAGTTTTCACCTTTATGTAAGTTTAAACTCACTGCTGCTGATCATATGAGTCTGATTAGTGCTTTGGCAGGTCTCCTTTTAAAGTGGACATGAAAATCATTTATGCTGCAGAGCCCTGCTGTCAAAATCTGACATATTTAATACTGTGTTGTTTAATTAATTTTTACATGTTTTACATGTACCAGTCCAGAGTGTGACGTCACAGGGTGTTCCCTGGCTGTACTGCCTCCCTGCTGTAATATTCAGGTTTATAAAGCACATGAGAAATGAGGACTGTGTGGAAGAGAGAGAGTGTTAAATCCATGTTAGTTTTTGAGAGCAGTGCTCCATAGTGTAAATTAGCCTTTAAACATGTAGTATTTCATGTCCAATTTAAGCTCTTGGTCCAACACCTCCTCTGAAATGTGTTCATTCATAATCATTTTAAACTGAACACTTACAACTGTAGGATGTTGTGGTGTGAGGGGGTTTTGTTTTTTTGTCACTGATATAACAGTAAAGGTTGTGAGAAAACTGAATTCACAGACACTTCAGTTTTTTCCTACAAACTTTATTAACCAAAACACACACACAAAAGAAATCAAAACTTGGCTGGGATCCACGAGGGCAGAAGATCTACTCTTGTGTTTGACTCACAGGTGCTCACTCACTTATTTGACAGTAATGGCTGATTGTAAGTGGAGTCATGTGTGGAGCTATTTCAGCTCCACAAACAGGAAAAAATACAGCATACTAAAGGAACAGCTAGAAGTGTTGAAGAAAGAAAATAACGAGATAACTACAGAAATTGAAAGACTGAATGGAGAAATAGACAGTCGAAAGGCTATTAAGGCAAATTATAAGGCTCTGGAAGCAGAGAAAAAGTCTCTTACCAGCCAAGGTACCACTCTGCAGAAAGAGCTTGAGGGGCTGCGGTCAAAGCTGGTTAAGGAACAGGCTTTGCGTCAGCAGAATAGTGAACTTAGAGCAGAGATCGACAGCCTCGCGATTTCAACTCCTGCTCTCCAAGCTGAAATTGCAGAGCTCCGGAAAAACCTCCAAGGGAAAAGAGTTTTTAACCTTGAGTACAATTCCCTGAAAATGGAAAAAAAGAGCATTACTGAGCTCAACAAGGTCCTGCAAAAAGAAGTGGATAAGCTAAAAGAGAAAATGAGAAAGGAAAAGGCTCTGCAAGAGAAAGTCGCAGCAATGAGAGCGAAAAAAGAGAATGTATGCAGACAACGAGACGCTCTAAAAACAGAACTCAGCGATTTCACAGATTCAACAAGATCAGACTTTGAAAGCTCAGTCACAGAAAGCACCAGATTGTCAGTTTGGAGAAGATTTTATACACCTGTTGTTAAAGAATTGACTGAAACACCTGATTCAATTATTTGGATTGGTGAGTGAAAACTTTTGGCAATATATTATATAGCAGTAGTTATACAAAGTAGTTTTAATGTAATATGACAACACCTTAGTAAAAATATCTCTCTTCCTGTTTGTGTCCTTCTGTTTTTCTCCCAGTCCTTGTTATGCCTCCTCTGATATCTGTTATCTAATGTACCATCAGCATCATATACTAGCAAATCGTGTAACTAAACTGTTTGCTTCAAAAGGAAGGTATAGGAAAGTCACACGTATCGTTTCCCAGAGTAAGTGTGGAAAAAAGTATATGAAATGTATAAAAAGCCTTAAAAGGATTGCTGACATGCATTTGCATAGATGTTCACTGTGCACTGTGATCAGCTAGTTCAACTGAAAACAAAAACTTCCAGTTTAATTTTTTTTTTCTTGTAATTTTTTTAATCCAACATGTAAAAGAAGTTTTCAAAACAAAGTCTCAACATTGAATCACTATATTCAGGTAACCAACACAGCCAAAGCACATATGCAGGTACATATTTCATATTACTAGTTTTACATAATGGAATCATAACTAGTAGATCAGAGGAAACACAAATGTTATTGTGAGGAACACAAAACTCAAAAAAGGACAAAAAAGGCTGAAATGTAAATGTAACATTAATAAAGGACTATTTTTTAAGAGTACAGGAGAATTCATTCATTCCAATAAAACAATGCTTCCTGTTAGGCGGGTTCAGATTGACTGAGAACTGGATGCCAGGTGGTCAATAGCCAAAGATGCTTCAACTGAGAACAGCAGTTCTAAAATCCTGGAGCTGTCCGATGTCCATTTGCAGATGATGGTGTTTGCTTAATTCACTCAAATCTCTAAGCTCTACCTTCATGTGAGTCCCCATCCCGTTCTCTCTTTGTCTCTGAATGCATGAACCCAACTCCCTGTGCTACCATCAGTCACACTGATGATCTGCTGCTGATATCTGCTGCAGCGAAACTGCAGCAGTACATACATGCCAGCAGCTTGTCAATGGGCCCGTTCTGCATGAAAATAAACAGGGTAAAGTCTACAAAGTGATTGAAAAGAAAAAAAATTAGGAATGCAATGCAATATTGGTCAGTGTTGCCAGATAGATATATTGATAGATTAACTGCAGGTAGGTTTATCAGAAAGTAGTTAAATAGCAACAAAACCAAAGTTCCCACAATTCTTCGCTTTTCTTCAATGGACACTGATGTGGCAGCCGGCAGGGCTTTGATAGTTCCAGCTAAACAGAAGATTAACACGGGGGCAGGGAAAAAGGCATGAATGATTAAGCGTGAAACGTCTTCTGTGGTTACAGCAAGAGCAGCACTAACAATACAAAGGACCCAGAGCAAAACAAAGACCAGCACAGAACCTTTAGGTTGCCTGATGTAGTTCAGCAGCGGGAATGCGATGAAAAAATACCTGCAAAATATGTAATATAGATATTCTGATTATCACAGTACAGAAAGGTATATGTCTGAACATAATGATGCTTCATAGTATAATATAATGTCCATACACGTGCAAGTACACACACTGAAACACAGAGCGGTACCTTTCCAGAGCAATGCACATCTTGGAGTAAAGAGTGACCATCAAACCAGCGAGATAAATGACAAGAGGAATACTGAAGGATGTATCGCTGATCTTCATGGCCATTACAAATGGGAACTGGAATAGATTGAAGACAAGGAGGCTTGTGTAATATGTGACAGGAGCCTGATCCCATCGCAACTGCAACAGAAAAAAAAATGCATTAATGCAGTTATACATTACACGTCTTAAACTAACTCTCTTTTTATAAATTGTTTTTGTAGTGACAACATACATTTTTCCACTTGCTTTTACTTTAATTATTATTGTGGAAATGTTTCTGAGCATGACATGAGAATGAAGACATGAGTGGCATATCATAAGGAGTTTAGGAGTTTAGACCTCATTGATCAGACTGTGTCGTGTCTAATGTTCAGTTTTTTTACAAGGTTTCCTGGACTTTGGAGTTTCCTGGAGACTTCTATCTCTTCTTCATCTGGAACCATAGTCAGATTGGTCCCTCTTACTCACATCACTTTTCAAAATCTCTTTTCAGTAGTCAGAAGCAAAAGCCTTTTTCTTAGCCCAAAGAGTTATTTACCCCAACACCTATCCACATCCAACCATTCATCGTCTGGACTGACCATAAAAGCATCACTTATCTCAAAGAGGCGAAACATCTCAACGGGTGACAAGTAGGTAGTCCCCATGCTTGATTAATTTCGACTGCCTTCCTCCTATACTATTGGCTGACTTACCTGGGGGCTTAAATCACTGGTCCACTACCCCACATGGCAGGAACCCTGGACTTTGTTGCTGGTCTATCGCCATCTCAAGGTTACACAGTAATATTAGCCTTTGTTGATTTTTTTTTCCTAAACTAGCCCACATTGTTTCCTGCCTAAATTACTTTGTACTCTGGAGGCAGAGCCTTAAGTTTTCAGGACCCTCTTCCGTGGAACCAGCTTACTGGGAGAAATTGGGAGAAAGACACCCTCTCTACTTTTAAGATTAGGCTTAAAACTTACCTTTTTGCTAAAGCACATACTTAGGGCTTGACCAGGTTACCCTGAATCCTTCCTTAGTTACACTACAATAGGTGTGGGCTGCTGGGGATTCCCAGAGTGTTTCTTCTTCGGCCACTTTTTCCCCCCAACATATGTTTATACAACTCTCTGTATTTAATTATTAGTTATTATTAATCTCTGGCTCTCTTCCACAGGATGTCTTTGTTCTGTCTTCCTCCCTAAACCCAACTGATCACGGCAGATGGCCCCGCCCCTCCCTGACCCGGGTTCTGCTTGAGGTTTCTTCCTGTCAAAAGGGAGTTTTTCCTCGCAACTGTTGCCAAAGTGCTTGATTATAGGGCTCATATGATTGATAGTGTTTCTTTGTAGTACTGTAGGGCCTTGAGGTAACTGTTGTTATGATTGTCAGCTATATAAATAACACTGAATCAAATTGAGGTAAATTGAAATCGAGGCCTAATTAACCCCGTTTCTGTCTGCCTCAAGTTACCACATAAATGGTAAATGGCCTGTATTTGTATAGCGCTTTACTAGTCCCTAAGGAACCCAAAGCGCTTTACACATCCAGTCATTCACACACTGGTGATGGCAGCTACATTGTAGCCACAGCCACCCTGGGGCACACTGATAGAGGCGAGGCTGCCGGACACTGGCGCCACCTCTGACCACCACCAGTAGGCAACGGGTGAAGTGTCTCGCCCAAGGACACAACGACGAGACTGTCCAAGCCGGGGCTCAAACCGGCAACCTTCCGATTACAAGGCGACCTCCCAACTCTTGAGCCATGATCGCCTAACATGACATGCGGTTCCATAATGTGTTTCACATCTTCCAGTTAAAACCTACAAGTTCCTGTTCATTGAGAATACTGAAGAAATACCTTAATTGTAATAATCATAAATTAAAGTTATATTAAAAAACACAAAGACAAATGTATCTACAGACTGTAGTAGAAATGTGAGCATAATAGTGCCATGCATTATTGTATTGGAGAGATTGTTTTCCTCAAATTATTCACATCATGACAGATATAAAGAGACATGAATATAAGTTATTATTTACTTACTGAAAAACACACACCACAGATAACCACGATGGTCAAAGCAATACAGATGCTCCCGCAGATTGTTAGCACCACGAGGATAAGCCCCATCCCACTTTCCATCCCACCTCAAGCTCAATCTGTGATGAAGTTCCTCCAGAAGATAGCTATTGGAAAAGCTAGTGTTGGAAAAAGCAAGAGTGTAACACCGTTAGCTAAACATCAAATGATGGATAAAAATAATGGTGAGAAAGCAAACAAGTCATTGTACATGTACAATTTCCTTGTACAATGACAATGACAATAAAGGGCTATTTTTACTTGCAAAACTGGGTTTACTTGTGTAACACAACATTGTTTTCAAGATTGTGCCTGTAGCAGTCTGGATTTATGTGTCTAAATACTTTGTTTTTCAGTTTTCAGTTTTCAGTTTTATTTGTCATATGCAAGTTAACACAGGGTCAGCATCGCAATGAAATGTATTTGATGAGCAAAAGACAGTCACTCAGCAGAATGGTACAGTAGAAGAAAAAATAAATAAATAAATAAAAAATAAATAGAAAAATAGTAAGAGCAAAATATTAATAAGATGTAGTAAAAGAAAAAAGAGATTTTTGGTTAACTGTCTAAATATATTTAATCACTAGTGTGTACATATATATAAATATATGTATATATGTATGGGATATAGTCCGAACTGGCTGACGAACGTAGCTCCAAAAGCGTTTGTCTGTCATACCGAGTGTATGATCGCGCTGTGCGCACAGAAATAGAAAGCAGTACAAAATAAATAATAACCTTTTTGCTGAGATGACTGGGAGCTCTCGTCGGTGCAGCCATCTTACGGCGCAACCGGAAGTAGATAAAGTTGATAAAATGATTTTGAACCAAAATGACAAAATAATCAATTTTTATGCATTGTGATTTAAAAACTAACATTTCTCTGTCAAGTAAACTGAGTAGAATTAAGTTCAGCTAGTTGATGAGCATATACACCAGGGGTCCCCAATCCCAGTCCGTGAGGGCCGGTGTCCTGCAGGTTTTAGATCTCACCCTGGGTCAACACACTTGAATCACATGATTAGTTCATTACCAGGCCTCTGGAGAACTTCAAGACATTTTGAGGAGGTCATTTATCCATTTAAATCAGCTGTGATGGATCAAGGACACATCTTAAACCTGCAGGGACACCGGCCCTTGTGGACTGGGATTGGGGACCCCTGATATACACATTTACAAGTGTATATAAAGTGTCATGACTTTATGTTAATAATTGTAAGCATTTACATTACTTTGCGCAGTACTGCTTCCACCAGAACTAGTCACCTGTCACTAGTGAGGATGTTTTTAGAGCTTGTGTTCAACAGGGAAGTTGTGGTAACTCACTCTACATCTCACTCACAAACATTCACAGTCAAGCAAGTAAAGATACAAAAATAAAATATCTGATTTGAGATAAGGGGTATGGCAATTAATTTTAGTACAATTAGTTCAGTCCACATTAACTATATATATGGAAGCAAAGAGCACAATATCATTACTTTTCATAATTTATTTGTATTTATATTAGTGCCTGTCAATAGATTAAAAAAATAACTAATCTCACAATTTTCGGTAATTAATCGCGATTAATTGCAATTACTTGATCAATAGCCTGGTTGCAATTACATTTTTCAACTTTATATTTAAGCTTGTAACTGACATTTATGTAATTTAATGAAGTAAAAGCAGAATAAACACAAAGAATGCATGCTTAAATTCAAAGAGAATTTGAATAGTTTTCTTCAATCTTTTAACACAGGTTCTCTCCTGTGAAATACAACTTCAAAAAAACCTATATACCAGGGGTGTCAAACTCAAATACACAGTGGGCCAAAATTCAACACTGGAACAAGGTCGCGGGCTAACGTTAATATTTATTGAAAAAAAAATCTTATTCCAGATTTAAGAATGAAGCTCTTCTTATGGACTCAAACAAGTTTTGCTGAAAAACTGAATATGGAACAAGCAAAGCTTAATACTAAACAATATTTATATATATATATATATTAGCTGTATAATACCAGTAGGCCAACTCTAATAATAATTTGGAATGGCTTTGCGGGCCAAATGTAATAAGGCCAAATTTGGCCCGTGGGCCAGAGTTTGACACTTATGCTAATAGGTAAGTATGCTGTCAAACAATTAAACTGTTTAATCAGATTCATCACAGGGTTACTGTGGATTAGTTGTGATTAATCACGATTAAATATCTTTCATTTTTATTCTATATTAATCTCATTTCATTTTGCATGAGCAAATAGACTCAACAAAAAAGGGAAAATATACGCACTTAACGTGTTTATTAAACATCTTGAACATTCATGTTAACAGAAAACAAAAGCATTTATCCACTCTCTCTCTGTCACTCTTGGGGAGGCACTTCAAGTCCTTGAAACGAGGAACCAAAGCTATGTAAAGTGCATGTTCTCAATCATATTAATAGGTCTGCAGTTTGTTGCAATCCATTTGGCAATTGTGTCAGTCAATATTTCCGAGGTAGACTTGCTGAGTCCTCGATGCTCTGTGAGTGGTTTGTCGCAGGCTGGGTGACACGTTAGCCAAAGTGCTAACAGCATCCTCGACTAACGTATGCTTTGCGTCAATGTGATATTTTAAGCTGGAAGCGCTTCGGTGAAAAGAAAATTCCTTCTTGCACAATGCACATAATACTTTATGTAGGTCGACTGTTCCGTCTTGTTATTTTTTAATACTCAAATTTCCCATCAAGAGGGCCAATGTCCGTTTATCATCTTCCAGATTGAGTTGATTGGTTCAGCTGCCCGTCACTACCAGATCAACTGCCCGTTTGCGTATGTGCGAAGGTAACTCTACTTGGACAAACTGCCCAAAATGTGTTGGCAGAAACATTTCAGGGATTTTGAGTCATTCTGCACTCCAGATGCGTTCATTTTAATCGAGTTGACCATGATGGCGGATTAATTTGCGTTAACACGTTAATTTTGACAGCACTACTTACTATATAAAGCAACCAGAGTGAAATAAAAATAATTTCACTTTGATTATAAATAAAATTAAACTGACACAATCTGGACAGAATCTGGTTTATTTAGTGTGTTAACAATACACACATTTCCATTCACTATTTTACACAGAAGAACAAACTGCAAACACAAAAGAAATGAGTAAATGATAAAAAGAAAAAAGGCCTGTATTTATATAGCGCTTTACTAGTCCCTAAGGACCCCAAAGCGCTTTACACATCCAGTCATCCACCCATTCACACACTGGTGATGGCAGCTACATTGTAGCCACAGCCACCCTCACTGACAGAGGCGAGGCTGCCGGACACTGGCGCCATCGGGCCCTCTGACCACCACCAGTAGGCAACGGGTGAAGTGTCTTGCCCAAGGACACAACGACCGACACTGCCGGGGCTTGGAATGGCAACCTTCCGATTACAAGACGAACTGCCAACTCTTGAGCCATGACCGCCCTAATCACGATTAAATATCATTCATTTTTATTCTATATTAATCGCATTATGAGTACAATCACATGACACCGACAGTCCTATTTATGAGGCTGTTTCATCATATTTATGCTCCTCTTCAAGTACAAATAATAATAATATTGTAAACATTGCCTTCACTCACCTGAGAACTGCTTTCAGTTGAACTTGAGTGTAAAATCTGAAGTATAATGAGTTTGTCTTGAACAGGGAAGTTGTGGTAGTCTACGTTACACCCCACCCCCACTGACATGAGGTCACTCACAGCTCAGAGTAGATGGTTGATTTTTAACATAGAGTTTTTCTTTTTCAGGATGTGGCCCACCTTTAACTTTAATTTACAATAACTCATCTTTCCATCTGTGTTTCTTAAACCCAACAAAGTGGCCACATGAAACTAATAGGAAAAGTAAACAATTTATCTATGATACTTATGATTTATGAATGTTTTTCTTCTTTAAATTGTTAACGACCAAGTTAGTAGTTCATATCTGATATTTTAAACCTATAAAAGCATTAATTTTTAATCCATTTTTTCTCATAATCTATGTTCCAATTAATGTTTTATATCAGTGAATTCAGCACTTGCTTCAGGTGGTTGATAACATGAGAGTTTAACAGTCTTTATCTTGAAGTTTGAAACTCTATCAAAGAGAAGTGAAAGCCACACGCGGCTCTTTGCCTGGTTTCATGCGGTTCTTATGTTGATATCAAAGTTTGGTTGTTGTTGTTGTTAAATGTGCGTGTTCGCTTCGTTTGAGTTCAATACGGTATTTTCATCAAATGCGCATGTGTTTGAGATGAAAATACCGCAAAGTTTCCCAGTAGGGGCAAGTTCGCCCTCAAAATGGCAGGGAAAAAATGCACAGCAAAACCAAAATATGAAGATGAAGACAAGACGTTTTTAACAGAGTGGGAGAGTTTATATTTTTTTGTTGAACGCCATTCTGCCTTATATGTCAAACATCATTAGTGCATTTCAAAGCTTCAAAGCTTCACCGCCACTTCAGCTCACGTCATGCTAACATCGACCAGAAATTTCCAAAAGGGACTGAACTTTGCAAGCACGAGTTGGCCACTTTGAAAAGTCAGGCAGAAAGCAGTCACAGTTTTTCCAAAGATTTACGAAGCGGTCAGAGACCATAATGCTCGCATCCTATCAGCTGGCTTGGAACATTGCACGGACTAAAAAGCCATACAGTGAAGGGTAGTTCGTTAAAAAAAATGCCTCAGTGACGTTGTTGAAATCTTGTCTCCTGAAAACAACAAACTAAAACGCATGGTATCAGACATCCAACTGTCCTGCCACACTGTCGAACACAGAATATCGGACATTAACACGGCTATTGAATCACAGTTGCACTCTGACCTTCAAGCATGTGAGTATTTTAGTGTTGCATTGGATGAGAGTTGTGATATACAAGACAAGCCTCAGACCGTGCAAATATTGCCAACTGTGTCAAATGATTGTGTGATCAAAGAAGAACTCCTGGATATTGTGCCATTAAAACACAGAACCCGTGGCATAGATGTGAAAGAAACAGCAAATCTGCACATAACGAAATGAACTGCAATAGCCACAGATGGAGCACCAGCCATGATGGGATCTGTGAACATGCACTTAACCACAGGCAATTCAAGAATCTCATCGCTTAGCTGGACCAAGGGCTTCCAGGCGACCTGCCGCTGCACTGCACTTTGAGGTGGCTGTCAAAAGGCCAGGTAGTCTCTCGCTTGTTTGAGCTTTTGGATGCTGTGAAACTTTTTATGGAAAAGAACGACAAGGACTATCCCGAGTGGATTATGGATCTGGCCTTTTTGGTCAACATGCTGTGTCACTCGGGACAGACTGAACCTGGTCCTGCGGGGTAAGTTAAAAATGCTGCCTGACCTGGTGCAAAGTATGTTTGCGTTTGTCA